TGCACACCCTCTGTAGCACATTTCATTAAGAGGCCAAAGGAATATGACAATACAAAACACTATGTTCTGTGAGTACGTGCTGCTATGCTTGACAATGCACTAATAAGGGGCTTTGCGTGTGTGCTTTGCAGTGTTGGTTTGCCGCCATTTCATTTCAATTTTATAAGAAACGTGCCCAAAGTTGAAAGCAGTGTGTCATCTCTTACGTGAAGTATCAATATCGAGCACAAATAACAGGATTTCACACAAAATGGAAAGTACATGGTTGGGTGTGTGTGTTAGGTGCCCCCTAGATTATTAAAGTAGAAAATATTCTGTATCCGGAATGAAACATTTGCCCTGAAAAGGTTGTTTAATGGACACTTTTTGTTCCTTGCTGTAGATATGGGTTGATAAACATCTCCCTTGAATTAAAGAGGTTTTTCGAGAGAAAACTCTGTAACGTACCATTTCATCGTCACCAGTCGATGCAACAATAAGCAAGAATATTGCAAAATGAGCATTTGTCATTGATAATGTACACATTGTCTCTGCTGTACTTCGCATAATCACCTCCAATATTGCACCAATAAAAGAAGACTTGTTTCAACGTCTTCACTGCTGTTGAATGCATATCGTCTGCTCGGATTTTTTTTATTCAGTTGTGAAGTTGATCAGTTGTGGTTGCAAATAAAAGCCTGTTGAGCCCTGCCAGAGGCCTAACTATTCGATGGAAGACTGAAATGCATTTTGCTACATTTAAAACAAATTGTACTTAATACTATTTTGATGTAAGCAAAAAATCACATGAAACATCAACTTTGTCTCGTTTCTATATTCATCAGTAAATAGTTCAATGTATTTCATTCATAAAGCATGTAAAACTTTGAATCGTTTTACATTGATTTTGATGTTGGGCGTTTCTATTTCATCCATTTAGCAGAATATTTTCCCCCATGTTCTTTCACAATTCCCACTCGGGTAGCTGCAATCCAGGAGCCATTCCATCGGCCACCACTCCTCCCCGATTTTAATTAATTATCCCCGTGCGACGGCAACAAAGAGCCGCAAGTACCGCGCCATGATTGATGCGATCCGGGCTAAGTCCAGCAGGCGTTCTGCAGTATGTAGGCACTGTATGCGGCGGAAAAGGGGGGGGGGCTTCCAAGAAAGACAATTTACGCGGGTAAACATTGAGCGCAAGGTGTAGGCTTTCTAATAAGCGGAGCTCGCGGTTCTAGCATAGTTTACATTATTGATTGCTTTCAAAGGGCATGGGGACTGGCAAACTGTTGTTGCCTTGGCAATTGAAAGACATTTTATAAAGATAAACCTTCTGTGTATGGTGGAACCTGAACAAGTCATGGTGGTCTCGGTCTGATCTCCCGGAACGAGAGCCAATTATCAATTGGAGATACGGCCCACGCGGCCATTCTACGGGTGTGCATGTACATGTACGTACCTATTATTGTAATCATTTCTGAGCTTGCACGGAGCTCTTTCGTGTCCTTCCTTCCCCTGCTTTACTTTTAGTCATTCACTCCCGTCTATACAATGCATGTCTGAGAGCTTTGGCAACTGCTGATTTCTTTCACAGGATATTTTTGAAAGAAAAGCAGGAACTCTGGGTATAAGTACACCTTTTTTCCACAGTTAGTACGCAATCGTTCTAGAACGTCAGAAATGTTGACCTAGGCCATCGGTTACATAAAAAGCATCTACCAATAAGAGCCAAAGAAATCGGACGTGACCTGTGAATAGACTCGATCGATGTGGACGAGTGAGCATTCAGCTTCCCAACAGGAATCCGACAGTTTCTGAACATTATTGGATTGAAACTGGTACATGTATTCACATCAGTACGGCGCACGGTGTAAGTTGGGAATTCGTGAAAAGGGGGAATAGTGCGTCAGAAATCATTCCCTTACACGTGGACAGCAGGATATTATACCATTTTATAACATCATTCAATCGGCCAATGAGTCAATCAGTGATTGATTGCCTGATCACCCAACCGCTTTTAAACGGATCAATCCAGTTTTCAATCAACTTATTTGTCAAACCTCATTGACACGGTTAAATAATTGATGCCCCATGTTCAATATATCAACAAACTGTTATCAGATTCCATCATCGGAACGACTTCATAGTCATCAGCTTCTGTTTCCAGACCCAAAGTGTCACGTACGTGTCCGAAAACAATGGAATTCCGTCTTTATGACTTCACAGCAATGCTCGCGCTCGATTAGAGATTCCAGTAGGCTGATTTATAAACGTGACTCTACGCGGCTGACAGTTTGGAGAGGGTGTAAGAATGGCAGTGATGCATCAGCCTCGTCACATTTCTCAGTCCTTAAGAGACTGTGTTGTCATTCACTGTGACAAATCCAAACCACTCCAGAAATGTGAAGCAACTCCAGTAGCCGAAAAATCGTGTTGGATAAACATCGATACTGTTATCTAAATGGGGCATAATAGGGCTTGCTGAATTTGGGTTTAAATATATGTATGTAAGCCGTGGGAAGTGCGCCAATTCCGTAAAAGGTGAGAAACATTTGGAGCAAGCACAAAGCACTGTGACGTGCCTCGTCTGGCCTGTAAACCTATCACAGGGGGTTGGAACTTAGAAAGCATAGCGTGTGACGCATTATGGCAGAGGCGGCGATATGGAGAAATTTTCCCACTAAGTCCCCCAACAGACACACAAGTTGTATGTAAAGGTTAATTCTGTTTATTCCTTTAATTATTCAGAATATATCAATTGAAAAATGGAGTGTGAAATTCTGAATCGGTGCACACAGATATCCCATGGCATTAACCTCGTTAGACAAAGCACTCCCCACACGACTGTGACGCTGATGCTCATTTAAAGTTAGTCTGCATTTATTGCTTTTGAAATTAGAAATTACTTTGCTTTCCCCCTCCGAAGAAAATAATGTTCCCACCCCCACTCGAATGGTAGAGTCCACCTGGCACTCAATATGGCATGTACATGTGTATCTTTGAATAAATTGGAGTGAATCACATGACAACAGTCTATTGCAAATGTTAACATTTGCAATAGACTGTAATCATGTGATGACTATCTTGAATTGAAAGTGAGGTTAAGTTTTCCAATTTTGGATCCTGAGAGTAAAAATAACGACAAAATAACAGTTTATATAAATTCATGCCTGTTTTGTTTAGAATAATTCCAAATTTTAATAAACTATCCCCAAATGATTTAAGTCACATGAAAAAATTAATGTGAGGTTTGGAACTCCAAAATAGACTGGCACCAGCTCATTTACCAGATTATATTGAATAAGAATGATGAATTCGGAGAACAAGATAAAACAAATGCCATCCTTGTGAATAAGGCCAATTTCAGTTCGCTTAATTGTATACGTTGTCACTTGTAATCTGACGTTCTGCCAAGAATTTGCCCAAGGGAGTTGCGTCCCAGAATTTTCCAACCATTTGAGAATTCGAAGAACAAAATATTCACATGTATATCCATACCCATCAGTCCTATCACGTGACTTGGGGTGTTTCTCGCAGTAATTCTTCATGTGGTGATGGAGAATCCTTTTTGGACGAATTTCTATCATCAAGCCTAGCTCATCGTGGAAGTCGTCAACAAATAATGTTGATCAAATATTTGTTTGCAAGAAGTTTCTATTAAAGTATTGTCAACAGTGAGTGAGAAGTCCACGCCTAACATCCTCTTTTGTTATTCATTCCCGACCACATGCTGCTGCCGTGAATCTGATTGCATTCCCCAGGAATAGATTAGGCTTGCAGCTGATCCGTCGTCATCTCGGAGTTCGGTACCCGTTATCATACAAGGCCAAAGCGTGTCCATGCACGTCATCGCTCGACCATCTCTTTTACGCGCTGTGAAACCTTCCATTTGGGTTCAAAACAAGATGACAATGTTTTGAGTGAGAATGGTGCTCTAGAAAATAGGGGTAAAGCGGAAAGTTTTTCCTGTGGTGATCGGGACACCATTTTATTAATTACTGAAGTGTTATCATTGCATGGTTTAAGTTCTACTGGATATGAATACTGTACTTGCAGAAATTGCGAGAAAAGAGCCGTGCTCGATGTACGCTGTAATTGTTGACTGTATAAGATACGATGAAAGATTGAAGCGCGTTTTTCTCATTGAATAATAATTTGTCAGCACTTTTTACTTGACTTGGCATCGCATGGCAAACTCTCTATAGGCCTGTCGGTTTGGAGCCAGGTCCATCAAGTGGTGCTTTGGTCGGACCTGGTCGACCTGCCGCACCCTGGTAGGCCTATGGTCGGGGGCGTCCACGGGAGCGACGTCAGTCGTGTGGTGGGGGCCTGCTGGCGGCTAACAGGATCTGCCGTGCCACTTCTTGTAAAGTTGTAATGTATGGCAATGAGGTCGTTGTTCGGGGTATAGTTGTTCGACGCAAGTAGAAATAGTAAGTAGGCCTACGGTGAGAAAGGGAAGCAAAATCATGCATCTAATCCACTAACAAATGCATGTGGCAGGATTTCCTGTCGCTTCGTGTATGTAACTGTCCCACGGTGTCTTAAGCTTCGTCCTCAATAAAACTCGAGGATTTACTGGAAGGAGATTATTGCTAGGGACAAGACGAGTGAATACAGCGGTGGTATTTATAACCTGGCCGCGGATTACGGACCGATGTTTTTGTTGCCAAGCTACTTGAAGTTCTTTAAACCGAAGCACGGACAACCAAGAACTACTTCAAAAAAGACACCATTTGTTTGGATTTGTGAGAGGCGCCTGAAAGCCACTCGGCCTAATGTACGGTCTCACCTTGGAGTCTTCACTTCAACGTCCGCCATAACACCAACATGCTTTAATCATAATGAATAGAACGACTTCTTGTGTCAACATTGCTGTGTTTTGTTTGGTTTCGTGGCCACTTCTGCTTTTCTAAATTTTTTGCTCTTCAAAGAAAGAAGAAAATACAGTATATCTTCCACAATATGCCATTTTGTTGAATAAAGACAAATATTCGTGACGCAGAACGAGTGCGTGATAATTGTGTTCTGTTTAATGACCAGTTAATGATTAACTAACATCTCCTACAATCAATATACAGATGTTTACCTATCGCTCGGCATTTTCAATCTAATTACACCACACTTTTAAGTCAGATTGTCTCGTTAAAATGAAGTCAGTGGAATATATTGCACCAAATATTACTGTTAAACCAGAACAGTTGAGATATATCGCCTGGAATGGAAATTATTTCCCAGTATTTTCTTGGCTTGCTAATACAGTGGTTCGCCTGCCCACAATTTCAGCACAATCTTTAAAAAATAAACACCACAACGTGTTAACTAAGGACAGGACGCTGTAAAACTTAAAGGCGGTGTGCGCCATTACTATCCGTCATGGGTAATGCCGTATGTACATGCAGGCATGTTTCACCATCAAGAAACTCATTATTGGTGAAAGTCTGACAATTAATATTATTTGCAGCTAGTAAAATCGAAAAATTGGAATTTCTAATCTACAAAAATGTTTTTCTGTTGGTAGGGGAGTTTTGTGCCACTGGCTTTCGTCGTCATACTGGAAGTCATTTCTGACATTTTTCTGATGTATTAGTTCCAACGATGTACCCTGATTTTATAATCTGCCGTGGTCCTGTTAAATATTTCACCGGCCTTGTTTGTGTCAACATAAAAAGTACTGTGAATCGAGGCTGGACCATCTGCTTTCCAGATGGTGTTTTACCCGTTACTTCATTTTAAATGAATTAATCAGTCACGAAAGGAGGTGAGATAAAACACAAAGTCTGCAATTATTGAAGTTTGTTTCCCTGCATGGCGAAATCTTACAGATCAGAAAATAAAAGTTTAGGTAAAAGGACTGTGTGAAATTTTCCTTTCAAAATGAATACCTCAGGCCGCTTTCCCCCCGAATTTTACTGTCTGCCCATTTCTGGGTTTTTGTGCATACACATATTCCCGTTTTTCCTCAAAACTCAACTACTAAGCTTAAATTCTTTAATAGCATAATAATACAGCAGTTAATGCTGTGTATTACATTATATTGAGGCACATTGACAAATAAATAGACCTTAAAAATCCACTGTAAATATTTACAAGTTCTTAAAGATATATTATGCCTACATAATATGATAAGATGATAAACCGGTGAGATTTTCATGCTATAATGTAACATATACAAGGCGTATACTTTCCAAACAGATTTGCCTTTTGAAGGGTTTTGCACGACCCTTGTGATTTTGAGCTTCGTAAAGAAAAAAAGAAAGAAAACTGGCTATTTTCGCTAATATTGATGGCATTGTGCAACTGACAAAAAAAATCAACGGTGCCATGATCTCATTTTGACAAAAGAAATTGATACGAGTACTCTCAAGATTTGATACCTTATAAATAAGGGCATATGAGTCAGTACTTCGGAATAAAAAAAGATATTTACAAATTTGTTCAAATGCTCCCAGAAAGACCAACGAATTTTCTCCTGTTAACTACACGCGTTGCAACACCACCGTCTGTCTTTCGACCGATATTACCGTGGCTCTCAGACGGGGCGGTGGGGGCTAGGTTACCAGCGGCCCCACTGCGGTATCGTCGGTATAAGTCCTGTTTGGCCTCCTCGAACTGAAACCGTCCATTCTCGATGAAGCTTGCCCGCCGCTTCATCATGAGGCGGAACTCCTTTGCCTTAACCAAATCGGCGATGTTGCGGAAGGTGAGTGGCTTGGAATCGATGCTGTCTTTAGGAGCCATGTCTGCGATGGTCTTCAGGTTGTCCCGGACAATCTCCCAGCCTCGGTTTCTCTGTTTGTCCGAACTGTTATTGTTAGAGTCACCCATTTGCTCAAGTTTACTGTCCTGGGACATCTTGTTTAACCCATCTGCATTTGCTGACCTGTCACCCCCGCTGGGTTTCACCAAATCCTTGGTGTTCTTCGAAAGAACCGATGACTGTAGAGAACTCCATCTCTTGCTCAGTAAACGTTTACCAACTGGAGGGGTTGGTTTTGGGTCTGAGATTGTTAATTCATCCATCGCCCGCCTGTACTCCCGACTCACATTGGTGCTGATTTTCTTCTTACGAGTTAGCAAGCGCGATTCAGCGTGCACGGAATTTGCGTCCTCCTCGTCGTCATTGCTTTCCTCTGGCAAGGACCGTCTCAGTAAGCTCCCAGGCCCCAATGCTGCCAGGCCTCTACGAGAGCCCGGTCCATGGTGGGAATGTAGAGGGGGTTGAGGACTCGTCATGCCCGTGATGGACGGCAAAACTGACGTGGACTTCCTTCTGCCTCTGCCACTTGAAGTGTCGCGTAAATTACGTCCGAGAGACGTCACCAGGCTGCTGGCGGATTCACCTGCCGAGCTCTGCCGCCTGGCCCTACGTTGCTGAGGCGAGATCGGTGGTCTCGAGCTAATGTCGTGCGACGTATCGCTGACGGTGTTTACACGCGATGCTGCTGATGATGTCGATGATGGCGATGATGATAACGGTGATGGCACGTGGCTGTGTGCGTAGAACACCTCCCCGTCATCGATATTCAACGCAGGTGTCCTGTCTTGCGGTCCTGGTCGCCTCTTGTTGCGGGAGCCTGGCAACGCTTCCTCAGCCAGCTGCATGGTGAGCTGTCGATGGGGGTAAAGGTGTTTCCCCGGGCCAGTCAGTAATGACGACCTGGAATTCTCAGCTTCATGACTGCTCCCGTTGCTGCCGCCTGACACTGCCCGGTGGCGCCCGAGGGCCCACTGTTTATCCAACCTCTCACCCTGAACAAAATCTGCACCCGAGAAACTCTTACTGTGAGCTGGTCTTTGATTCGTCCTCGTCATGTAAACCTTAGTCTTAAGCTCCCCATAAGCCGCTTTTCCAGTGGGATATGCTTGCTCACTGTTAGCTTGTAACCTCCCCGTTGTTGCATGATGATTAGCCCACTGGTTTTCATAATCAGCCGCGGTGTTGCTAAGCGACTCCAATCTCTCATCCAGTTGTAATTCCGTCTTTGTGAAGTACACTCCTGTGGGGGTTGAATAACTTCTTGCTCGCCTACTAAAAGGTGGCCTCGGTCGCACGACCGGAGTAGCCCAACGACCGTCTCCCTCCATGCGTGATGCAGATTTCTCCAAAACACCTTGCACTGGTGGCTCAAAGAAGACCAAGAAATGGTCTTAACCAGATCGAGCATTCATGGAACGCCAAACGAGGCCGAATAGTTAGCGTGGGAGCGTTAATAATGATGTTTGTAGAATGTGACGGCGACAAAACACCTGACAAGGCTCAGCATGTAGTACCTGGGGCTAAATTGGATAGGGCAATGATCCGGACCATGATTTGGGAATCACTACAAATCTCCAGTTTTTGTCTAGTTCCTCTCGCGGAAAAGCATTCGAACAAAAACAGTCAGTGCTGAAGCACGTTATCGCAGTAAACTGTCAAAGAAAAATCAATAACCGCAGGTTGTCTTCAGATTTCAGTGGTAATGAGTCCGTAGGTTTGGAGACAAAAATACCTTTGAAATTTCCCAGTTTACTGTACAGTGTATTTATCTTACTCCAGTGGCTCCATCGTGGCAAATTCTTTTCCCAGCGTTTGAAGCAGATTTCTCTACATGCAGTCTTGCTCGAAATATCTTGACTACTGAATTACTCGCGAGTTCGCTTTAAAGCAGTCGTCAAATGGTGCGCTACATCCAGTCCCAACTATATACTCGAAGCGACTGAACACGATAAAAATGCCAGATTTTATTATGGAATGGTTGGCCTCAACGAGGACTCCTGCGTGGTTAGCCATTAATGTTGCACAAAGTTGATCAGGGCAGCGTCAATGAAATCCCCTCTCATCCAATTAAAAGTGAATCCGTTTCTTCGGTGGAACACTCACTATTTGAGATGGAATGCATTAGGATCAATATTGTGCAGTGATTTAGAGGCCCCGATGGTATTTTCGATCTGTATCCTAACGACCAATTCGAGGTCAGCGACTGAATTGGGCCGCGTGCTGGAACAGAAGTGGCCCCTTTGTAGTTTTTGTCAATCTCTGTCCCGTCATTTTCAGAAGAGATGATTAATTTCCAAGGTTCCAGTGTTCTGGAAAGCTTTGTCTCCAACGAGGTGAATTAGGCAATGACTGGCCATCAACATATCCACCGGCCTTCTGCAAAGGGCAAAAAAGAGAGAGCGTCAGTGATCAGACAGAGGCCTAATCATAAAAACGCACACGAGATTGTAACGATAATCATAATGCTGGGCAGGAAATTCTTAATTTGCACGGCAGTTTATCGTAAGCATCGTGTATATCTGACTGCCTGACGGTCTTCGAGCTCGCCGTTTACTCATTAACTTGTCATTTTAAATTGATTAATTGGCTTGTAATGAACCCTCAGTGAGTTTGCACAAGAGGCATTAATTTCACAACGTGTAGCGATATTTGGGTCTGTGAGTATTGAACATGCCTAAAATCCAAAGTGTGGCCTAAATTGCGACTTAAAAGCACTTTCAAAAAGGGGTAGATGTATATTTTATTACGAGTATAATATAAATGGGGCTATTTACTCTCGCCATATTTGTTTCGTGCAATACCGGCCTGCGTTTTCAATGAAAACGATAGGCCTACTTGAAATGGCACAAGGATTCAGCCTTAGATTGGACAGTATACCGAGGTGATTCTTAAGGGAAAAATCCAGCCATGTATTTTTACGAGACCAATGTTTGTGTGTGAAATTGCAATTTAACTATTTGATTTTTTTTTTCAAATTGTACTAAAAACGTGATGTTGTGAAGTAAATTCCTGTCTTGTTCCCTACCCGTACCCTGACGAAACTTGGAGGTGTTCAGCCCTTCCGAAAATGTTCGAAATTATTAATGGGTCATTGACCTCATAAGGATGCGTACGCTTTTAACGCCCATGATTGGATGGTTTCAGTTGTAAAATTGCTGAATTTATCAACACAATGCATATCATGCCCGTTGGTAATTATGAATTTATCGCATTTAATAAAAACGGTAGTTTGCATCGGCATAGCCCAGTGCCTAACTTTTGCCCGTGCAAACGTGATTCATGTATGCATAGATAAATGAAAGTGTTGAATTCAACACGACGCGTCGGTTTTAGCGTGTTCGGTCACAGAATTTTTATTACTGTGTATTTGGCGCACCATTTGCCACAACTGCTTATACGACGCAACAGCGCGAAGCGACAGTACGATCATTCTATTTCGTCACGCCACCACCCGTTTGGGTTTGTGCTGTTATGTTCACCTTTCCACCGCGCCAGTTAATTAAACACCGTTTCCTCCGTCGCCTGTTGCGTCACAACCTGCTTGCGGCCCACCATCGCCGCTGTCCTATCACGATGACCTTTCACCAAGGGTGCACCCTGGTAATTA